GCTGGCCATGAAAAGTGGAAGATAGAAGTGGCACGCAACCATGTGTGCCCCTCCTGTCAAAGCCTCAAACCTGGGGGAACCAGCTCTGGTCAAGTGCCTCCTGCCACTACGCATGCACTTTACCCCGCTTGGCATGCTGTTGGTGTGGATACTGGCGAATGGGTGGTGCCCAGCCAGAAGAAGAAGGTCAAGTTCCTGGTCTTTGTGGATGTCACGACAAAACTACGTGTGCTTCAACCACTACACGTCTACGATTTCCTCGAGATGCGCACGGAGAGCGCTGAGGAAGTGATGATGGCACTGACGGACAAGTGGCTTGCAATGTTTCCTAAACCAAAGGTTCTTCTGATGGACTCGGCCAAGAGCTTTGTGTCCGATGCCTTCCATGAGTTTGCCAGCTCCCTGAATATCCAGGTGCACTATATTGCGGAGAAGGAACACTGGGCACATGGAACGGTGGAAGCAGTTGTACAGGACATCAAGATGACTGCTTCGGCCATACAGCTTGAAGCCCGTGATCAAGATCCCCGCATTACACTACAGCTGGCAACGTCGGCACTGAATGCCACCGAGTACACCGCCGGATTTTCAGCTTATCAGTGGGCCTTTGGCAAGCAGTATGACATTACCGATGAAGACACCAGGACCTTTGCCAACAACGACTACCCAGGAGAGTTTCTCAAGCTGGTGACGGCTCGACAACATGCCGAAGCAGTGGCCACCAAAACTCGAGCACTACGAGTTCTTTCCAAGCTATCGAACACTACGGTGCGACAACCTCTGAGGACGTTCTCTCCTATGGAGCTCGTCAAGATCTGGCGACGGGTGTGGCCCAAGGAGCAATACAAGGGTCCTCGCGGCGGTCTCCGTATGTCCGGGAGGCCACACTGGATAGGACCCGGGAGGGTCATCTTTTGTGAGGTGATTCCGCACCAAGATGGCAGTGATGCCCGACGTCACATATGCTGGGTTTTGGTTGGAAAACAACTTTTCAGATGCTCAGTCCATTCTGTGAGGCCCGTCACTACTACGGAACGATTCCAGTATGAGACTTCGGGAGAAGAACAAGCACATCAATGGCACACCCTCAAGGATGTTCTTCCACAACGAGAGTTTGTTGATCTTACCGATCAAGAGCCAAACATGGAAGAAGTGGAGCTTCCCAACCTACCTCTTCAGCCAGATGCCCAAACTGTTGTGGACCCACCTTCTCGACGAGTACGTGCCAAAACCACACCTACAACACCCTTGACAACCACCGTGGAGGAGGACAATGAGACCGGCAACGTCCCAACATCTTCTACTACAAGAACCAATGACGACGTGAATGGATACGACATGCCGGCTCCCAAAAAGGCCCGCCAGGATGACTGGGTTGAAGATCTCTATGCGGAAGCACAACAAGAACTTGAACATGACCTGTTTACATGTCTGGAAGCGATCGAGGAGACAATGGATTGTTTGAAGGTTGAGTTCGACATCGGCGACCTCAGCAACCGACAGCGCAAACATCTTGAACGCAATCCGGTCAGTTACATGGTCAAGAAGATGCGAGATTCTGAGGTCTCAATTTCCCGATTGTCGCCAGCAGAACGGAAGCTCTTTGAGAGAGCAAAGATGAAGGAGGTTGAGTCCTTCCTCAAACATGAGGCAGTACGCAAATGTCTAGATCACAACGAAGTCAAACAGGCTTTTGATCGCAACCGCATCATTCGAGCTCGATGGGTTTTGACCTGGAAACCCATTCCTCCTGAAGATCGTGGAGCAGCTGTTCATGACGCCAAGTCCAATGCCAAGACCACTCACACGACCGATGGAGCGAAAAAGGCTAAAGCACGAATTGTGCTCCTCGGCTTCGAGCACCCAAGCTTGTTGGACAGCAAGTTCAAAACTGCATCACCCGTGCAGAGTACCCTTGGGAGAAACCTACTCTATACCAAGGCAATGCATGAGCAGTGGGACTTGGAAGGTTTGGATATCAGCACGGCGTTTCTACAGACTATGCCGACGGAAGCCGACCGCGAAATCTGGACCTACGGTGTTGAAGAGCTACGAGATGCTCTTGGAGTTGGACAAGAAGGGATCATGCGAATCCTTCGCAATGTCTACGGCAGCACAACGGCTCCTCGTGGATTGTGGCTAGATCTACATCGAAAACTCACTTCCCTGGGAGCCCAAGCTGTCTTGGGAGAACGCTGCTTGTGGATTTGGTTGTCAAAGATCGAGATGGATGGCAGCCATCCACGCATGATTGGCGGCATGGGAGGTCATGTAGACGACTTCCACCGAACGGGAGATCGAGAATCACCCGAATGGCTAGAAGTTGTTGACAAAATCAACAAGGCTTACGAATGGGGAATGATCAAAAAGAATGCCTACCGCCACGCAGGCACCGACGTGACGATCAAGGAGGACGAGCATGGCTTCAAGAAACTCGTGGTGGACCAGGAGTACTACATTGAGACGCTACAGGACTTGAACATCCCTGTGGATCGACTACGCGGAGACGGTCCCCTACTACCTCGTGAAGTGGAGGCCTGCAGAACAGCCTTAGGAGCGCTTCAATGGCTAGCCGTTCAGTCTCAGCCACAATTGTGCTCAAGATGCAACCTGCTTCTCACAGAGCTTGTCACGACTGGAACTATGAACACTGCACTTGAAATTCAAGGCATGGTGTGCGAGATTCGGAACCAGTCTTACAAGCTGGAGTTTCGGAAATTTCCTGATGCCCGTCATTGGAGCGACATTGTCTTCATCAGCATGGGCGACCAGGCGCACTCGAACCGTCCGAAGGGCGACTCTACAGGTGGCATGCTAACACTCGTAGCCGGTCCGGGCTGCATTGATGGCAAAATGTGTCCCATGAGCCTCATCGGATGGCGGACATGGAAACTCAAGCGAAAGGCCATTGGAAGCAACGACGCGGAGGTGCAATCAATTCTGGAGGCAGAGGACCAGAATTTTCGAGCTCGTCTTCTGTGGTCAGAGCTCAACGGCGCTGGAGGACGTCATGAACAACGAGAACTCCGTCGCGACATGGTAGATCAAGTCGAGGCTCAAATTACTCGCATTAAGGGCATTCTCTGCACCGACAGCAAGGGCGGATACGATGCAGTGGAAGTCAATGAGTCTCCCTTGCTGGGCTTGAGCAACATGCGAGCAGCCTTGCAGGCTTTTCAGTTACGTGACAATCTGGAACGTGCAGCCTGTCAGTTACGCTGGTTGGCCTCAGACTATGACTTAGCTGACGCCTTGACCAAGAAACGCGCAGATGCGCGTCAAGGTCTTCTAAGATTCTTGTCGTCAGGAGTTTGGGCTATCAAATATGATCCGAACTTTGTCAGTGCTCGCAAGAGCAAACAGCGAGGTGGTGGTGCTCTACGTGA